AAAAAGGCGGAGGAGCCCTCTATTCAAAAGGCATGTATTGCTGTTCAGCCCTTGCAGTGGTCATATTCGGCGGCTAGAACCTAATGTAACGAGCATGTTCCCTCTTACACCGGCAAAGAAAATCAAAAAACAAACTGTGCACTCACATCCAAAGGCGGTCCTTGCCATATGAGAGGTGGTTGGGGGTTCGCAATGCTGTAGCGTGCCCCAAAAGTGCACGGGAACGAGGCTGTAGAATAGCGGTTCTCAGGTTCCGTTCCACACTACGCCTGCGCTATCCTCAAAGGTGCACTCGCACCGAGACCAAGGGAAGCACGCGTTTCAATTGGTAGACAACGCTAAACGTGTGTGGGCGCAGCAAGTTAGCGCGTCAGGATATAGTTAGGCGTGTGTCAAGCCGTGCGGCAACGCCGGCCTACTGTGTATCCCTTCAAGGACGGTCTCGATTCTGCCGCTTTTTAGTCTCTGGGTAGCCCTCGACCATGGGCATCCTGGTACGGTAACGGTAGTCCTTCCTCAGTGACCAATTCTCCAATAAGTGGTTTATGTAGAGTAAGGAGGAGACGAACCATTTGTGTTTTGTAGTAGTTTCTCAAGAGCATTTCCTTTCACTTTCTTTTGTGGCATAACTCGAGTACTTTGTGGTGCGGTTCACCCGGCTTTTCGGGGGAAGTGGCTAGCACTTCTTGGTAGTATGGTTACTTCGGCAGACCTAAACCGAAACGCTGGTGCAACTCCCCACGTCATGTACAATGGAAATAGACAGTCATATAAACTAAAACCCGGCGCAATTTGTCGACGAGGGGGGCATTCTGCTTTCCATAGATTTGCCAACCCATCTAGGTAGCCTTTTCTCGAGTTGACACGTTTTAGGATGGTGGCTAGACGATCTTGCTCCAGCTTCACAAGCGTTCACAAGTTTTACCAGAGTGAGATTTGTAAACCGGAACCAGGGAAGCAATTATAATACAAAATGCCCCCTTCCCGTCGACAAACAGCGCCCTAAAACCCTTGCAACTTGCACCCAGCACACTATCCTAAAATTTCTTCCCCAGTACTTCAAAGATCAGAGAACTACGGCCCACGCTACCATGCGCTTATAAATGCTTGGCTATTTCTGGGTAGTACTGCTCCTTCATCACGTCTTCAACTAACTTCGTCGTGCGCGAATCGAAATTTCTCGTATCACATTTTTGCACTATGCGTGGGAGCTTTTTATAAACACTTCGAGCTCTTTACTTTTTATCTCTCACTAAATCTTCGATTTCATATCTTGCCTCCAAACTTGGGCGAACGCCTGGCTGGCTCTTTTATGTAGAAAAAAAATCGTAAGCATGTTCGTGTTCGGCAGCGTTCAGACTTCGCGATGACGCGCGTCGACGCGCTACTAGTGCAACAGCGCTCCAGTCTTATGGGACGCGAAAGCGCGCCCAGACGGGAATCAATCTACGCCGCTTGTATTTGGGAAAGTTTAGGACCACGTGAGTTCACGTTTCACACAAACTGATACTCTCCCTTGCCTCCATACTCTCCCAAAGCGCTAGCAGCCAGAATAGGTTGATAACGGGCTGCGTGATTAGGCAGCGCGTACCCTCCTTCCCACCCCTCCCTCCCCTTCCCTCTCGAAATAGCACCAGCCGCGCGATCGATTCCCGTCCGCTGTTGCGTTCTCGTCCATAGCGCTGTTGCAATTGCAGCGCGTAGGCGTGTATTACAGTGCGACAACGCGCGTCATCGCGTATTCTGAACGCTTCCTCCCCTACAACTACGCTGAAAATATCTAGAGCGCATAAGAACAAGGTACATCATCAGGATCTGGTCAAGATTATTGGGAAGGTCCTGTACTTCTCCTCGTTTCAGAAAGCGGTATCAACGTGACTGAGCACGCGATCTACTCTGATATTAACACTGTTACCGTAGCCATCGGTGAGGATAGTTCTCAGGTTGTCGATGCCTGTTTCACTCTTATGGTCGAATATTCCAGATATAACAACGCTGAAACATCTTGACGAAGCCTGGGCTCTAACAGTGACAACTACAACCGGCTCCTGTTACGTTCAGGTACGTTAGCCGGGGCCCTCCCTGCGGAAGGACTAAAGAAAACAAAAAGAACTCATGAGTAAATATAAGCGTTTTGGCTCTGAAGACAAGACGCCATACCAGGAGATTTGAACCTCCACCGGCTGAGCAAGCGTCTCCTTCCACTAAGATTGATCATTCGGGGACCCAGATTTGACTGGATTTTATGATTAAACAGGTATTTGAAAATCTACACAGGTGTTCTTCATGGATGTTTGTAAACTCTGTTTCCTCCTTGGAGAGTCATTTAACCGCTAAAGAGTTGTGACTGAATGGTATTATTCACTATATGCAATCGCGGGACTCAACCTTTCATTCCTCAACGAGTTTGCTTGCAATTATGGCGGGGAGCGGAGTTTTGAGTGGTTCAGCCCTTGCACAGGATTTCGACAACGGAGAAATCCTTTAGTCAGAAAGCTCACGAAAATATTCACGTGCCTTTTGAAGAAGAGGGTGTTCCTCAGTTTCCAAATATGACCTTAGTTTAGCAAGATATGTAGCTTTTCGGGAAGGCTGTGGTTATCCAAAGCGTGGAAACCCCACACGGAAACATATTTCCACAGCGCTCCCACCACGAGTACTTTTCCAGAACCTGTTTTTTTCAAAGCCTTCTAGACAATTTCAATATAACTCAAAGCTTACCTAAAGTCTTGTTCCGCTGCGGACGATGGGCGTGTCAGGAAGGATGTGTCTGGCGCGGCGCCAACCCCTTTCCCACCAGTTGTTCAAGTGGGCAAGCGCCAGGCAAGGCAAGCTGTATGTCATTGTTCGTATCAGCCGTTCTCCATAAAGTGTTGCCGTTCACCCGCTTCATCTACTGATGGAGAACGGGCTGGCCGTGCTCAACCCAGCCGCACTGACACGCCTCGTCATCCGCGCGGAAAAGACTAGTCTAGTAGTTCACAGCTCTAGTTTACCCTTCACAAACGTCCCTTCAACAACTTATATTTGCTCTGAGGAAGGGTACCTCTGCTACTTTTTGCCTATTCTGCAAGATAGTCTGCTCCACTGCAAATGCACATGCATGTGTCCCGGGCGCGAGTTCAAATTTCCACCTTATTACCATTTATTGGGGGCTGCAACGTGGGTGTGGGGTCCTACTGAGACCCTCTTCTTCTGGCGGGAGAATGCATTTTCCCCATTACGATGAGGCC